GGGGAGAATGACTTCAATAATTTCTGTCTTGGGTTTTTGAAAAGAAAGCACCATGTTTGCCAATCTGAACCATTGATTATCAGTAGTGGGGCTGGGTGGTGAGAAGGGGGTTGTAGGATCCAAAGGAGTTACGTAGAGCTAAATCTCTAGTGACTTGCCCTAACCAAAACCTATGGAACTTGATATTGGCTTGTTGGGCTCTCTCCATAGTCTTGCAGCAAAGGGGTATTGTTGGGCTTGTACCCATGGCTTCCAAAAACTATTCACTCTACAACTGCATTCATCTAAACCACTGTTGACATGACATTGCTCCCAGGCTAAATTGATATTGCTTGTTGTGGAATAACTTGACACGGCGATAATGCACCAGATGACACAAGAAAACAAGTCACCAATGAGATAAACGCATTGAATATGCATTTAAAATAAGAGAGACGCTTGTTAACCTGATGGTACTGGCACTTAATATCCACTCTCACCATTGCCCTTTCCATTATGTACCCTTTCTCCCTCGTTCCAGGTTTCATGCTCGCTCTAGTTTTGCAGTTTGATATTCATGAAACCTTCTGCTCTCATAGGGATCCCATTTGCCATGAGCAAGCCTCCACATAGGGGCTGGCTTTAATGAGCAAGGGTAGTGTTGGGGAAGAAATTAATCTATGATGCTAAATTCTTGGGTGTGCTTTACTTGTTCCTTACAAATGATATCAACTGCTCTGAGATTTGACTCCTCTCTTTCTAAGACAAGCCTCCATGCCATGATGGGTCTGGTTGTAGAAGCTACATACCCTGTGCATTCAGATGTCACGGTGAAGAGAATGACATGACAACCTAGATAGAGAAAAATATAACACAGCTTCACATAGCATAGGTGCAATTTCATGCTACGTTTCACCATGATTTACATCTCTCTCCCTCATAAGTAAAGGAACTTTGCAGCCCCCATGACTGCAGTATCTTCACGGCATCTGTGACTTTACAGATGTTAATGAATGCATTCCCCTATCATCCCTATGAGATAGGACGGTATCATTAACCCAGTGGGGAAACTGAGACTGTGAGAAGGTCACAGAGACAACATGTGGCAGAGCCAAGAACTGAAACGCGATGTCTTAGCTCAGTGACTTAACCACACCACCAGCTTTTTGTTCACTTGTGGAGGATATGGGGCCATTAAAAATAAGTCTGTGCTACACTCTTCACTGTGCTCTAATTCATTTTGGATTTGCAGTCTGTTTAGTGGTATCCCTCGCATATCAATCTTGTTTTGACCTATGTCAATACTCAATCCACATGTGAATTTTCACCAAATCCAGGGTTGCATTAGTGCTGTATTTCCAGATAGGGCCCATCTCATTCTAAATAGCTTTAATGGTGATTAATAATTTTGCTGCTAATAAATCTTGTTGGCAAAAAGGCACCCAAAATATGTCATTATTTACATATTTGTCTTCAAGGAACAGCTGCTTGGGCCTCAACTGCAGTCATAACATCATAACTGAGTATTCCTCTACCCAAACATTCACGCGTCTTTGGGCATGCGTCTGCGGCTCAAGATCCAAAGTTGCTTAGGAAGCAGGTACGCTGATAAGAAAACAGCAAGCTGTAAGTAGTATTTGAAAACTGATGTAAAAGCAGAGGTCCCGATCAGTCCCGATCCTGCAATCAAACTGGCCTTCATGATGACTGAAACCCACCTGCACGCCATCACAGAATTGGGTCCAAATTTACCAATAGTTCTTAATTAAACTGCACAGTTCAGTTCCACAGCTGCTTTCCTATAAACAACGCACTAATTAGTTCAGTGAGTCAGTTAAAACTTGTACCACAGTGCCAAACAATTTAAAGGGAAATTATGAATTTTGAAATCCTTCCTCTGAAAGAAAAGGGCCATTTGGGTCGATTGTGTGCTTTGTCCCCTTGTTCGCATCTTTGGGGTTATAATCACATTTTTTCTAATATATTTTTTCAAAGACTGAAACAACAGGGGAAACTGTCTCAGGTTTTAATGCTACATATATTTTCCTGTTGGCTTAACTTTACTCACCGTGGGGATCCTGGCTGCTAGAAGCAAATGGGGTTATTCACCTAAGTAAAGTTTGGCCCATAAGAAAGTTTTGGCAGCATCTAGGTTTAGGGGACAGATCTAGACTGCAATGCATAAATTTGGGGTGCTTGACTCCCCTCTCCCTGGAGTGCAGCCCAGAACCTCTCCCTGCCCATGGGGAGAATTGGAAGTCAATTAAATGGGTCCACAAACCCAGCCTGCTAAGCAGGGAGAAGTGTGGTGAGCCAGAAGTAAATGCTGGGCCCTGGGGGTTTCTTAAACTCCCCCTTTCAGGCACCTCTTGCTCCAAACCCTCTTCCAAGTGTAGGTCTTTGGAAAGCACTAAGCTTTCTCTCCAGGTGTAGCTGCTAGAAGGGGTGGCTATCGTACCCCCGGTTATATCATGGCCATCTGGGTTAGAGCACCTTCCCAGGAAATGGGAGACCGACACCTAATGCCCTCCCCGGTCTGAGGGGACTCAGACCCACAGGAGAGCATCCTAACCCCTGGACCAAAAGGTATTTTGGGTAGGGGCACCTTCCACCCTTCCTGCTCAAGCTCCACAATGTGTAGAAAAGAATTTGAGTCACGGGGCCAAAGCAATCACAACTTGCAGCCTTGCGCTATGTCCCCCTGTGAGGTGCAAAGGGAAAGGATGTTCAATTCAGGTTGCTTTTTGCATTTTGTTGAATGTCTGCTTAAGGCAAAATACAGGACAGGCTTTACTAGGGGCTTTGAAGGCTGCCTTCCCCAGAACAACTGATATACTGGCAGAGAGCGAGCCTCCTGGGGATGGAAGAGGAGGTATGGGCTCCCTCGGGGAATGGAGAGAATTCAAGGCATTACCTGGGCCGTGCATTTCCATCCACCTGCCCTCTCCCTTTGGCTGTGCTTGAAAAAATAGTGCTGGCTAGAACTGGATGATGTGCCGGGCCCAGTCCTGCCAGCACTAGGCTTACTCCAGTACCTCCCAGACTGAGGCACTTCACGGTCTAGGCAGGGGAAGGCCCAGTAGGGCAGAGGTATGGGTGCTCAGCCCCACTAAGACTAGGGCACTTCTGAGTTTGTGCACAGGGGAGACTCCAGGGGCACATCTACACGTGCATTAATGTGCTTTATTTAATGTGCATTAAATCTAGTACCTACATTGTGACGTACTAACAAAATGTGCACTAGCACTTTTAATGCACATCAACTGAAGAGTGCAGTTTTTAAGTGATGCTTCATGTGCATTAGCCTATATTAATGTGCATTAACTAAATAGCGCACTTTTTCAAGGACGATTTAATGTGCATTAAAATAGGCTACCGCACATTAAAGTGCACGTGTAGATGTGCCCCAGGTGTCTGGGGTGGGGGCATTCGAGTGACAAGTGATGTAGTTGTGGAGTTAGTCACCTCCAGCCTTAAGCACCAGCTGAATGGGGGAACATTTTGGACTTAGGTGCCTTGGTTGCATCTGTACCCAAGCTTCAGGCATCAAGGCCTTTGTTGAAATCTGGCCTTAAATGACTGACCAAGGAGGAGATGAAAGGGATTGCACTCATTGCAAACAACAGGCATCATCTTCCCCGCCAAAAAAACACTCTTAGCCATTTCAGTCTTCACATTTACCAGACCTAGGTTAGAAATAAAAATGGAGGGGCAGTTTGATTTCCATTCTATGGAGCTCACTGTCCCTGGGCAGCGCCATGTTCTGGTGGTGCTTTAATTGGATTTGGGGTCTTGGCCCTAAGCAAGGTGCCTTTCCTTCCACCTCCTTGCTTTGATAGGAGTTTTGCAGTGTGCCACCAATTCAGAAAGGCAGTTCTCCCTTGTCAAGTCCTCTGTGCTGTGGCAACTGGTCTAAACCCCCTCGTGGAGGAGCTGTTCATGATAGCAATGAAGACCCCAGTGCTCCAGAGATGCTCCTGGAGGATTCAAGTGGGTCACTCGTGCAGCTGCGAGTCCACGGGGCTGTCAGGGCTCCTTCAGGTGAGCTTCTCCACTGGACATCGGTGCAGGCAGGGCTCTCGGCAGTGTCGGTTTGTGCCTCCTTTTAAGGCTGCTTGCCCTCCCACCCCCACATCCACTGTGCTTTCTGCTTCTCGCCAAGCCAGATGCTCCCCTCCATCAATGCCTTGGGCAAGCGGCTGCACTTCCAAGAAGGGAGCTGATATCTGAGCTCCAAGAAGGGAGCTCCAAGAAGGGAGCTGATATCTGCCTCTGCCCTCCGGTTTGCTTTGGGGCTTGTTTCCACCTGCTTCCAGACCGGGACCGGAGCAGCTCCCACCCACCCACTTCACTGCATCCCCCCCCTGCCACCCTCCAGCTCCCCAGCACCCAGCTCCCACCCGCTCTTTGCGCCTGTCTGCCCACTGACACAGGGAAATGCAGCCCAAGCCTCCTCCTTGGATCTTTTCCATGCAAAGCTGAGCATGCAAAGCTGCCTGAGGGAGGGCAAGGAGCAGGGCTCCCAGCCAGCCCCCGCAACAGCCTTGCTTGGCATTGCAGTGCAAGCCCAGCCAGCTTGGCATTGCAATGCAAGCCTGGGGTTAGGGATACCCACCTCTCTCTCTGTCTGCAGGGGAGAGGATGCACTAGATCTGTTTCCATCCCCACCTCCCTTGGTGTTGGGTTTTTGGGTTTTGTTTGGTTTTGTTTTTTTTGCAGTGAGGATGGCTTGCAAGCTGGTCCAGCCCTAGCAATGCCTGGGGAAGAGAGAGGGAGCGAGAACCTGCTCCAGGCGGCTGGTTTCCACTGTGCCTCTGATGCCCATCAGCAGATTGCAAGCAGGATCCACCCTGGCAGGCTGGAGGTGTGACTTCCAAGGGGGGCCGGGCGGAGGTGGGGAGCTGGCTCCTATAAGGAGCTGCCCAGCACCCGGCTGGCTGCTGGGGAAGCCGGATCGCAGGGGGGAGGCAGGCAGAGCCCGGCCCTGGCTCCTTTAAGAAGATCCGGGGAGGAGTGTCTGTGTCCCCAGCTTTTATCCGGAGCGTCTGGATGCTGGATGGAGTAAATGAGCGCAGGGAAGGGAAGGGAGAAGAGCCCTGAACCCGGGGCTGGGGGAGCCTGCTGCTGCCTGCCGGGGCTGGGAGGAAGATGGATGCTGCCCCCAAACTCTTCAGCGCTTTGACTTTGCTCCTGGTCGGCTCCTGGCACCTGGGATCGACAGCCAGCAACTGTAAGCAGCCCGCACCGGGGCAGGGGGAGGATGCTGCATCCCAGGACTGGGGGGATGCTGCTTCCCAGGGGCTGGAGGGATGCACCAGCTGGAGGGATGCTGCTTCCCACGGGCTGGAGGGATGCACGGGCTAGGGGGATGCTGCATCCCAGGAGCAGGAGGGATGCACAAGCTGGAGGGATGCTGCTTCCTACGGGCTAAGGGGATGCTGCATCCCAGGGGCTGGAGGGATGCACAGGCTGGAGGGATGCTGCTTCCTACGGGCTAAGGGGATGCTGCATCCCAGGGGCTGGAGGGATGCACAAGCTGGAGGGATGCTGCTTCCTACGGGCTAAGGGGATGCTGCATCCCAGGGGCTGGAGGGATGCACAAGCTGGAGGGATGCTGCTTCCTACGGGCTAAGGGGATGCTGCATCCCAGGGGCTGGAGGGATGCACAAGCTGGAGGGATGCTGCTTCCTACGGGCTAAGGGGATGCTGCATCCCAGGGGCTGGAGGGATGCACAGGCTGGGGGCATGCTGCATCCCACGGGCTGGGGGGATGCTGTGACCTCTAGGAAAGTTAGCCCCGCCACTGGCTGCACACCTGGAGCACTTGGTGCCCAGGCAAAGTTGCAGCGGGCTGGAGCTGGCTGGGCTGCGGGGGGCAGCTCGGCTCTGTCCAGCTGGTGCAGCTGCAAGGCTGCCTCTGCTGGCATGGCACGGGCATCCTCATGGCAGTGGTGCTTTGGAGCCGGGTTGCATGGGCAGGGGGTTTTGTGTGCCCACCTGCCTGGAGTCTCCCCTGGGGCAGCTCTGGCTGGGGCCCCCGAGCTACCCCTTGCCAGGCCAGACATGGCCAAACTTGCTCCCGCTTTGCCCTCCCAATCAGGGGTGAGGGGAGAACTGGAGGGCTTGCCCAGCCCTCTTGCCATTTTCCAGCCCTGGAGAATCAATAATAATCATAATAATCACCATCACTTTAATCATAATAATAATCATAATAAGAATAGTCATCATCATCATCATCCATCAGAGCATCATCCCCTGAAAGTTGTTGGGTTTTTTTTCCTCTTCCATTCCCCCTTCTCTTATTCCCCCCTCATTACCCTTAAGGCACTGCTGTCTGCGACTGTCACTGCAGACTGTGAAACACATGCTTTGCAATGTCGCAATGAAAGGCAGTCCACATGCCGTGTGCCGGTATTATTCTAACCCCTTGGTGCAGGTCCCATTGGGAATGTAGGACCTGATCTCCCTGGTAATGAGTAGGGGGGAAAAAAGGCGGGGTGCTTCTCCAGAGGTCTCAACCTAGCAAGGCACAGTGGCAAGGATTCAGACAAATCCAGGCTAGCTGAGTCTCTGCGGCCCGTGCACAAGGCATCGCCTGGATTGTAACTGGGAGAAGTTCTGGCTGGTGTTGGAGGTCATTTGAGCAAGAGCTAGGAAAGATCTGGGAAATGTGGAATAAGTCGGTGAATTTCTGCAGCTCGGGAAGGGCTTGGTTCGGTTTGGGAATGGAATTTCGTGCTCTAATCATGGTGGCTACCTAAGAGAGAGAGAGGGAGAAAAGAAATCTCCCCCGAATGAAAATTTTTGGTTATAGTAAATCAGAGGAATTCAATGTTGCCTGGATCTCGACGTAGTTGTGGACGCTAGAGGTCAGTCTTGCCTTATTGATTCAGCGCTTTGGAAGGGCATATTTCCACATGTTTACATAGCCGAAGCAATAGAAGAGTTTCAATAACCAGAACATCAATTTAATAAACCTCATAAAACATTAGCAGGTGCATTGTTTCTGCCCTCTCACCCCTTTCTGGGGGGAAAGGGAAATTTGCTTTTAAGTGAACCCCAGTGCAAGAGGAAAGAGCTTTATTTTTTTTTTTTCCTTGGGGCTGAACAAATGATGGTGAATATGTTTTAATAATGTTCACCAATTGTAAGTGGCAAGCAATTTAAGACTGAGGCTTGCCATTACTGTTGCAGTAATAAAGTTAATTCCTAACACTTAAAAAGAAACTCTGTGTTAATGAGTTTACTATTTCACGGGTGACAGTTTAATTTCCCAATGCCAATAAACATTTCCATTGAATACACACTGCTTCCTAAATATTTAGGAGTCAATCTTTTTAAGGCATAATGATCAATGGTTTTATTATACAGTACAGATTTTACTTATTCATTGAGCAGTGAATTAGCATGGAGTAGGCTGTAAGTGTTTTTCCCAGGAGCTAAGCTAATCTGTAATAGCTTCAAGTTCCCTAGAAACCCAGTAAAAAAAATCTGATATTAAGAAACTTACACACACACGCACGTGAGCCACAGACATTTTAACTATGAAAACTCCCCTTGTAAAAAATCTCTATACATTGGGTCACTGATTTCAGCGGGGCTTAGGTAGCTACACCACTTCACAATCGGTCTCAGTAGTGAAAAACCAAAATAGTCATCTATATGTGCCTAGTAGAAGACACCTAAATCTATATATTTTTAGACATCTAAATACTTCTGGAGATGTTGGACCTGCTACTAAAATCCTTGTGAGCCACACGGCCTCGGTGCTTCCAAAAACTGGGAAACTGGTGTTAAAAGATCACATGGATTTTGAAGCATTCACTTTTGAAGTTCCCAGTCTTTTGTCCAGAGAACCGGCTTCTGGTATTGCTTACCTGGTATAATTCAGTAGTCTTCTATAAACCAGGAAAACCAGAAGAGAACAGAATCTCATGTTTTTAGTAGGAAAAAAAAAGTATTTTGAGTAGGAAAAATCAGCCTCTCTTGTGCTGGCCTACATAGCATTAATCTATTTTTTGGTGTGCTTAAATTAAGGGAATCTTTTTTTTCTTAATGTCTATATCTATTCTACCTCCCACTGTCATCCCTTTCTTTTTACTGGGAAATCGTGGGGAAGTTAATGGTTGCTACACCTCCGGTTTGAGTTGTTGTTTGTTTCATGATTTCCTCTTAGGTATGCTGTGCAATTAAAGAGAGACCCGCTAAAAAATCTGCTTTGAAATGCAGCTACAGGCTAGGGGTCAGTAGACATCATTAGAGAGATCAGAATTACCTAATGCTAAAACAAGTTGAGAAATTCCTGAAGCTTACCTCAATGCAGTGCTTTATTACATTAAATAACTACAGGGGCAACAAGATTTCTCCCTGGGATACTAATTACTGGAAAATAGACACACGCAACATTGAAAGCCCTGTTGCATACGTAGTCTTGTGGCATTTTAATTTGTGCGTTCATCAAGTGCTAAGGAGAGACCAAAAAAAAAAATTGCCTGAAGCAAATTAAATGCATTTTTACATGGTTTTTTTTGTTTGTTTGTTTGAGATGCTAGTTGGGGCTAAAATGTTTCGGAATATTATGTACATACATATTTCAAAAAAATACTCCAAAAATAATGCAACCTAAGGGAGAGAAAAGACTTTATACTCCTTTCCTCTTGCTGTTAAGTGAGACCAGCCTATCAGTCACATCCCATCAGGTAGCTCTTTCTTCTGTACTGAAAAGCAAAGCACTGAAAGCTAAAATGTCATATTTATGGGTTAATTTAGCTCCATGCAGGTGAATAGAGGCAGCAATTCTACCGTGGCGGTCATCTCTTCCATGCTGTGTAGTCTGTCCCCTGCATCGGGTGGGTTGTGTGCTTTCTTTCCCCTCAAATGTGTATGGTTTACTTGACTGCGGTCTCCTTCATAGGTATGAAGGTTTGGCAGGTGAAGCACATCATTTTGGAAAGCGGGGTCCTTCCAATTCCCTTTGCAAAAAAAATATTTTTGAAATATTGCCGCGTTTCCATTTCTGCACGCTTCCTCCTTCTGCAAGGTAGTCAATCCATTACCATACCTTCCCTGATCCTAAGAAATCCTAACAGACATCCCTTTCTCCCAGGCAATCTGATGGGTATTCAACACCTCTTAAGATCAATCAGGTCCTTAAACTAATATTGTGCAATGGATCCTGCTCTCCTTGAAATAAATTGCTAAACTCTCGCTGACTACAGTGACTAAACCTGGCCCCATCAGAGGGTCTTGATATTTCTATTTAGCTCTAGTGTGCAATTAAAATGCGTTTATTCTGGATCAGAGGTGTGTGTTTGAATAAAACTGAATGAAGCATGAAAGATGAGTTTAGCCAAGAGGAAATGTGAGAAAACCAAACATGCCTTGTAGAGTTTCTTCTGGGAGCCTATTCTAACCTGGCTTTGCAATGAATTGGAAGCATTGCGGTTGATGGAGATAGATTTAAAAGTGGTGCAAATCTAAGAGATTTTTGGATCTCTAAGGCCATTGAGACACATGGGATTAATTGGGACTTGTACCTGTATTGAGGAGAGCACGTTCTGCCTATTGATCAGCAAAGAAATAGCAGCAGAGGTGCCACAGGACACATTTTTTCCCCTCTATAGGATTTTAAGAAGAAAAAGCTTAGAGACCAGTTGAGTTGGGTAGTTTAATGATTCTCCAGCGGTGGCCTTTAGAGCATTTACTAGTAGATGATACGATGAAGGATGGCTTTTCTTCTTTCTCTGCTAGGTAAAAGAAACAAACATTCACGGACACTTTCCCCCTCTTCTCAGTTACTGATGGAGTAACAGGAGAGTATATGGGATAGTAAAAGGGAGGGGAGGGTCTCAGTCACCAATGGGAGGGGGTCACAGGCTCGCAAATACAAGGGTTTATATCGATGGTCCATGCAGTGATTAAGTCAAAGACCCTTGCCCTTCAATACCTTGCATCATATCACTGCCACTGCTATTAACGACTTAAAATTCAGTTGATTTTGCTTGTAAATCCAAGCCAAAGGAGGTCACTGGGAGACTTTCCATTTACTATGATTGGCAGTGGACCTTGCTCACGCTGATCAGATGGCAGTGCTCAATGCACACGGACCAAAACAAGGGCATTACTGTCTCTTTATCATACGTGTTATGTGTCTCCACCTTTGCTGGTTTAATGTGACACACATTAGTAGGAAAACAAAATACCTTGAAAATGTGATCAGTTCTTGGATAA